GAGAATCCCAAGCAGACTCCTCTCTGTCAGTGCAGAGCCTTATGTGGGGCTCAAAACCACAAAATGAGATCATGACCTGAGCCAAAACCAAGAGCTGGACGCTTAACCAACTGAGCCACCCAGGCGCCCCGACCCCCGCTTTTAAGTTTATTTATGTAAGCTGTCTTTTAAAAATAGGAAGCATGGCCCAGGCGGCCCTGGGTGCCTAGCTGCTGGGTGGCCTCTGGGTCTGGGTGGCCTCTGTAGCCTGGGGGGTGGTAGTGCTGGAGGTGGCAACCAGCAGTGCCCCAGGGACCCTGTACCCTTGCCAGGCACCACAGCAGTAGGAGGGCCACTAGTTTCTGTACTACAGAGCAGCAGGTACAGTAGCCATGCCCTGCTCTCCTATGATGGGATCAACCATTAGAAGGTGCTAATCCCCTGCAAGAGATTATTTGAAAAATTTTGTTCTATAAGGACGGAGTGATGTTTCAGATTGAATAAGCCACCAAGCAGTGCGCCAAGATCACCCTGATGGACCCCTGGGACCCTCTAGACATTCCTCAGAATGCCACCTTTGAGGACTAGTTGACGACTAGTTCTCCATAGGGGGCCCCAGGAGCAGATCAAGGTCCAGAAGTGGTCTGACAGAAAGTCAGCTAGATCATATGAAATCTGGGTTGGCATTTATACAGTTAAAAATGGTTATCCTATCCAGAAAGCCTTCACCAAAACTGTGATACTGTGCATGCAGTTTTTCAACATGCAGCTGGGCATTAAAGACCCCTGGGTGTTTACCCCGCTAAGCACCTGCCAGGTGGCCCAGCCAGAGAGGATGAGTGTGAACTGCACCTGGTAAGCCCATGAATGTAGAAGTGGCAGCATTGGGCATCATCCCCAGCTCAAGAGGGATTTGAGACTTGAGAAATGAGAAACGTCATTGACGATAAATATCATAATTGAAGGAAGATAAACATTGATGTGGGGTTTTTTTTGTATGTATGATTTTGACTACTCAAGCTACGTATACAGAATGGGGTGGAATGGAGAATGTGTAGTAATATGAACAGAAGAGATAGCTAAGATGGAGATTGCAGATGTTTGTCTAGTTTGTGTGGGTGCTGTGCTTTCTGCATATGCAGGTGTATCTAAGTGTGGTGGCACACGTGGGGTGAGCATCAGCACGAGCAGTTTGCCTTGGCAGGGAGGAGGGTCTCATTACCGACATTGCTGAGAATTGCTGAATTGCTGCCCTGTGGTGATGATAAAATGCAGAATGATTTTAATCAGTTTTATTATTAATTTTTGAGTTCTCTGCAGATAATGGCCCCTTTATTGCCTGTGCCAGGGTGGTGACTGTTTCCCCTGCCCTGTCTCCTGCTCCCTTGGCCAACGACAAAGTGATTCCTCAAAAATCTCTTCCAGACTTAAGAGCTTTGTGACATGATCTGATTGATGTAAGTTTGGGGAGGAAATGAAAGGCTATAATACAGAGTAATTATTCCTCAAATAGAAACTTAAAAGTGTTTATTTATTTTGAGAGTGAGAGAGCACATGTGGGAGGGACAGAGAGAGGGAGAGAGAGAATCCCAAGCAGGCTCTGTCTGTGCTGTCAGTAGAGAACTCCATGCGGGGCTCCATCCCATGAACTGTGACATCATGACCTGAGCCGAAATCAAGAGTCAGATGCTTAATCAACAGAGCCACCCAGGTGCCCCTCAAAGAGACATTTTATTTTATTAAATTTTTTAATGTTTATTTATTTAAATTTTTTATGTTTTTATTTTATTTTTGAGAGAGAGGAGAGAACATGAGCAGGGGAGGGGCAGAGAGAGAGGGAGACACAGGATCTGAAGCAGGCTCCAGGATCTGAGCTGTTGGCACAGAGCCCAATGCAGGGCTTGAACCCACGGATTGTGACATCATGACCTGAGCCAAAGTCAGACATTTAACAGACTGAGCCACCCAAGCACCCCTCAGAGAGACATCTTAAGCAAGAGGGTTTGAAAATCTTAATGTCTCTACGTAGGTAAGCATGAGCCATGTATGCTTCCTTTTTTCTATGCAAGAATGTTGATATATGTGCTTAATCATCACAGACTTGTCAGGAGACCTAGAAAGGCAGATAGTATTCTAAAAATAGCATTGAACTGGGAGTCAGTAGACTGTTGTCTCCAAAGTCCACGACTGGAATTCCCTTGTACTTGAACTCCTTTGATTAACTAAATGCACTATGCTTTCCCTCACCAGGGCCATCCTGGAACATTGTTTCACTGCCTCTTTATCTATGTAACTCCTGTGCATCCTTCCTAGGTCAGCTCACGCTTGACCTTTGCAGAGCTGCTCCCGAACCTGGATTGGGTGCATCTTGTAGCTTGAGCATGCTGTTCTCACAATACTGATTAGACTGTGTGTTAATTTCTTTCTTTTTGGACACCATTGCCCACTAGCCTGGCTATGAGCTCCTTGAGTACAGTTACCACGTTCTGTTTACTTTTACATGACCCGCACCAAATAAGTGCCTGGCACATGGTCAGTGCCCTAAACATTTGTAGAGAATGCCAACTTCTCTGGTCATTAGTTTACTCATCTGTGAGTGGGTTAGGTTTGCTGACTTCTAGGAAGACTCCTACTAACAAAATTTATTGTTCTAGATTCTTCTGTTGTGATTCATCTGGCTATCATCTGTTACTAGAAGAAATGTGTGATATCTATATTATGCTGAAAATCTGTATTAGAGTTTATGTTATCTTAATACGTATTTAATTGCCAAAATAAATAGTAAAAAATTAAAAACAGGCAGGAAGCCTGCTACAGCTTTTGGCAAAGCCTTTCACATGCTGAAACTCACATCCTTACACATCCTCTCTTTCGTTTTGGGGGAGCTCTTTGGGGGTTCACTCATAGGGTCTGGCTGAACCACCAGCTGGGGACTGTTTAGAGACTAGAGTCCACAAGACTAGAGGCTTGATCACATCAAAAGACTGTCATACATGCTCCTTTATCCATCACTCATTCATTCAGGACGCTGTATTCTTTCCTTTTCCTCACTGCCTGCCTCATTTGCTGGTTAATCCTTGTTTCAGAACTCTAAATGTCTTTGGACCTCTTCTCTAGTTGACAGTTTCTCTTTTGGTGAACTTATCCAGTCTCTGTCTTCAGAGTATCTCCATAATCTAACCACCTTTTATCACCTCCCCTGCCGGCACGGCACCGCTTGCCTGGACCACTATAGTAGCCTCCCCCTCACAGTCCTCTGTTCCTGCCCTCACACCTACAGCCTATTTTCTTCACAGCAGCCAGAGGGAGCCTGTTAAAATCCTGTCAGATCATGGCCCTCCTCTGCTCATGACCCTTCCGTGGCTCCCCTGTCACTCAGAGTAAAAGCCAGAGTTCTCTCCGTGGCCCATGATACCCTACACGATCAGTCTCCCACCCCGTGTCTGACCTCACCTCCTGCTGCTCCCCCCTCCACTCACTGCTCACTTTGCACTGGCCTCACTGTTCCTCATGCACCAGGCACGTTCATGCTTCAGGGCCTTTGCACTGCCTGTTCTCTCTGCTTGTTATGCTCTTCCTCCAGCTATTGGTGCACCTCCTTCCCTCATCTTGGATCTGCATGCAAATGGCTTCTCAGTGAAGTTTCCCCCCACCATCCTATTACACGTTAGAAACTGCCCCAGCAATTTTTATCTGCATTCCCTCTTTTCCATGTTGTCTTTTGCTCCAAAGTATTTATCATCCTCTAATATACTTCATATTTCCCTTACTGTTTTTTTTTTAAGTAGGCTTCATGCCCAGCATGGAGCCCAACGTGGGGCTTGAAATCACAACCCTGAGATCAAGACCTGAGCTGAGATCAAGAGTCTCAGAGGCTTAACCAACTGAGCCACCCAGGCAGCCCTTCTTTACTTTTTTTTTTAAGTTTATTTATTTTGACAGAGAGAGAATGCACACGAGTGGTGGGAGGGGCAGAGAGAGGGGGAGAGAGAATCCCAACAGGGTCTGTGCTGTCAGCATGAGCCCGTTGTGGGGCTCAATCTCCTGAGCCCTGAGATCATGACCTAAGCCAAAATCAAGAGTTGGACACTTAACCAACTGAGCCACCCAGGTACCCCATATTTTCCTTACTTAATTTTATTTTGTCTCTTCTACTAGAATGACAACTCCCCAAACCTAGGTATGCTTATCCTTTTTGTTCAACACTGTCTCCCCAATGTCTGGAACAGGGCCAAGCACAGAGTGGGTGCTCAATATGTGTTTATTAGTTGATTGAATGGATGGTGTTGGGAGGGGGAGGCAGAAACAGATGAAATTTGTCCCAGTCCTGTCTACTCTGTCAGGAGCTGAGCCTCAGTTAAGATGAATCTGGACCTACCAGATCCAAAGGTAGACAGCACCACATACCCTGGGGGTGAGATCAGGTAAGGCATTCCAGGAGGAGGTAGTATCACTTGGGGTGGTCCTTGAAGGTTCCGTGGGACTGACAGATATCTTGAGGTTCAGTGAAGCCTATGGGGTGGAGGACACAGGAAGCAGCACTTGGAGGGGATGAGGTGAATTCCAAAAGGATGAGAAAGGATGGGCTCACTAACAAGGACAATCTGTCAGGGGCCCTGAATCCCAAGGGGATGACCCTGGATTTGGTCCTCAGAGATGTCATACCCTGGTCACTGACCCCCAAACAGCTCAGAGACCTCACACCCTGGACAAACATTCATACATAGCACTGAGACAATACTAATGAAGAGCTCATATTAATCGAGAGGTTGTTAATTTATTAGGGGAGCCTTGGATGGAGGACATTCAGACATGTAATTTTGGTCCCAAACCCAACTCAGGTCCCCCCAGTAGGAAGAATGAAGTGCTGAAGTCCTCAGTCCTTGGAGATCTCTGGGCTTGGGTGAGAGTTTGCAGGCAGAAAGGGAGAGGGAGACATCACAGGGAACAGAATGGCAGAGGGCCAGCCTCAATCATGAGGAGATATAGTTGGACACCTCAATCAGGTTTCTGTCAGGGTCTCAGAAGTAGATGGACATAATGGGTCCTTTGGCCCCTGTTCTGGGGACTGGACCCTCCTCAATGGGGACATCACAAACCTGAAGTGGGAGGAGAACACAAAAGTCATTCATCACAGTCCATGTATGAGACCAAAATTCAATTCTTAGAAGACCCCTGATATCTTTCTGACTTCATCTCCTTCCATTCTCCCCTCCCTCACTCTGGCCATTTACCGGCTGTGTGGCCTCGATCATGGTACCTAACTGCTCTGTACCTCAATTTCCTAATTTGTAAAATGGGGATGATAAAATGGTGCCTAGTATTATCTAGTAAGTGGCAGAGCCAGAATTCAAACCCAGGTAGTCTGGGCCAAAGCCCATATTCTTAGCCCCTATGCTTTCCCCCACTTTACTTCCAAACCAGACTTTTTCACTGATACTTTCCAAAGAAAGAAATATATGCAAGACCTTATTCTGTGTTCCCCAAAAGGGGAACCAATGCTTCCTTTACATTAAACCATTTTAAGTGTTAGAAATACACCAAATTAAATATTCCCTCTTCAATCCTATTTCAATCCTCTTTTTCCTTTTTTTAAGTGTTTATTTTTGAGAGAGAGAGAGAGAGAGAGAGAGAGAGAGAGAGAGAGAATGAGTGGGGGAAGGGCAGAGAGAGCAGGAAACACGGAAGCAGGTTCCAGGCTCTGAGCTGTCAGCACAGAACCCAACACGGGGCTTGAACTCACAAACTGTGAGGTCATGACCTGAGCTGAAGTTGGATGCTTAACCAACTGAGCCATCCAAGCGCCTGTTTGTTTTTATTATTAAGTAATCTCTACACCCAATGTGCGGCTTGAACTCAGGACCCCAAGGTCAAGAGTTGCATACTCTTCCTACCGAGCCAGCCAGGTAGGTGACCCCTATTTCAATCCTGATTCTATCAAGAAGAAAGTCTCTGGTGGATGCTACCAAGTCCTTAGCACCTCCCCAACCATTTGCCAAATCTCCCTTTGTAACATCAAGCCCAGAGGGTTCAGAGAAAGGAAGTGGATAGAATCTAATGACTGGTGTTTTTATAGCTGTTTGTTTTTACAGTTAACTTCCCTTTGTGTCAAGATATAATGGTCTGTTCATGTACTTGGTTGAACATTTGCTTTTTACATAAATGCATTTATGTAAAAATAATTTAGGTTTGTATTCTTTACAAGAGTGATGTAAATGTATTTGTTTACATGAAAAAATGATGTCAGGAAAAAGAACGAGCAAATGGTTGTATACAGGCATGATCTGGATATGACAAAACCTGTTATGTCTGAAGTTTGAGGAACACCCAGCTGGGTCATGCATTCTGTTTTCACCATACCAGCAGCAGCTTCTCAAAAAGAATGGATGTCCAACTCACCTTGAGGTGCTGGACCATTTCCTCCAAAGGTACCTCTGTGATCAGACATCTGTCCAGGGAGCCAGGAACTGGGTGAGCAGCTTTGGGTTCAAATTCCTTTCCCACCTCATGGAGGTTAAATTTCTGGTCTCCAAAACACAATGCTTTCCGGTCGCCCTATTTGGGAAGGAAGAACAACAGAACAACCTCCAAGGTTAAAAAAAAAAAAAAAAAGGTAAAATGGGGCTTTTTAATTAAAAACAACCTCCCTGGGGCACCTGGGTGGCTCAGTAAGTTAAGTGTCTGATTGTTGATTTTGGCTCAGGTCATGATCTCGCAGTTTGTGAGTTCGAGCCCCACATGGGGCTCTGAGCTGACAACACTCAACCTGCTTGGGATTCTCTGTCTCCCTCTCTCTGCCCCTCCCCTGCTTGCTCTCTATCTCTCTATCTTAAAAATAAAAAAAAAAAAATTTGTGCGGTGCCTGGGTGGCTCAGTTGGTTTTAGCATCCACCTTGGGCTCAGGTCATGATCTAGCAGTTTGTGAGTTTGAGCCCCACATCAAGCTCTTTGCTGTCAGTACAGAGCCTTCAGACCCTCTGTCCCCTTCTCTTTCTGCCCCTCCTCTACTTGTTCTCTCTCTCTCTCTCTTTCTTTCTTTCTCTCTTTCTCAAAAATAAATGAGTAAACTTAAAAAATATTTTAAAAATTTTAGAGAGCCTGGGTGGCTCAGTCAGTTGAGCGTCTGACTTCAGCTCAG